GTACCGTAGTGCCTAGCTGAATGCAGGGGATGAGTGTATAGTTCATAGATAGATATATATACTGAATGAAATAAATCCATCTAGTTTTCAATTTTTTATAATGAATATATTACTTATAAAACAAAAAAAATCAAACACATTCTGGTTGCAGTAATATAAAACACATAGTAAGTATATGCAAACTATTAGTCATATAAAAACGATGAAATTGAGAGCTTAGCTTCTAAACTTAAAAAAGTTATTATATATTCTTCAATTACTAAAAATAGATCTTCCAGTATGTTTTCTTATAGAGAACATTCATCAAATGGAAACTTTTAACTGAGTAAACAGGTTATATGTATATAAGTTCCATTACTAAAACCATATATATAAAGTGCAGGCCTTCAGCCAGTGCTGGAAGGCAGGGATTCCACAATCCCCTTCTGAAACTGAGGAGAGGGAGGGCTCCAAAAATAAAAGTGAGCAGGAAAGCGCATGCTGAGCAAGGCTGCTGCAGGCCCCATTCAAATTTAATGGAACTGAGTAGAGAGAGGGCTCTGCCATTAAGGTAAACTGTGGGTCCTAGTAAAGTACAGGACTACCAATGGGGCTGTTGGAAACTAGAGACCCCAAACACCTCTTCTGGAAGTAGTAAATACAGAGGGAAGGTATCTTAAGGGACAGTGCCTATCAAAATATCCATTGTATCACTTCCCTTGTGAAGTTTGATGTAACAGTACCAGACTTAGTCTGCCTACCAAATTCCAACATCCCAGAAGGAGTACCCTAAAAAGATGCCCACCCGTACCAGTAGCACAGTGACCCACCACATAGAACAACTTAGAAAACAAACAACAAGGAGAGGAAAAAGTACAAATAACTAAGGAAGTTCTCAGAGGAAGGACACATCACAAAAAGAAAATCAGCCTCCAGAACTCAGCAATGACATGGAAGAACATTTTTCCTGTCAGCTAGAGAATTTAAAATTGTCAAGATTAAAAAACAAAGATAAAAATGAAAATAAAGTTAGAGAAATATAATTAATGAACTAAGAATGAAACTGAGTCCTTAAAGAAGAAAATGAAAGAAATGGTAGATTAAAAGATTAATGGAGGGGCTCTCCCTGGTGGCACAACAGGTTAAAGCACCATACTATTAAGCTCTCAGAAGCCTGACTGCAGAATGAGTTTGACCCCCAGCCAGGGAGCTGACCCATATGGCATAGCAGACCTCTACTGACAGGCCCACTGCTCTCCTCAGCAGTGTATTTTAGTATATCTGCTGTTTTGTTTCCCACTCTGCCTCTGGTGAACCCTCTCACCCATCACACCTCTGGCCTCTACCCCAGTTCTGTAAGCATAAATAAATAAATCTTAAAAAAAAAAAAAGATTAATGGAGGCCCTAGTGCCTCGTAGTGGCACAGCAGGTTAAAGCACAGCACTGCAAGCAAGCCAGCCACTTCAGTGCAAGTTCAATCCCCTGCCCTGGAGATGATCCATATGGCACAGCAGACCTCTCCTGACCAGCTAACTGCTCCCCTCAGCAGTGTACTTTGTTGATCTGCCTGCTGTGTCCCAACTCTGTCTCTGGTGAATCTGCTCACCACCCCTGCACCTCTGGCCAGTACCCCAGTTCTGTATGCATAAATAAATAAGCCTTCAAAAATAAATAAATAAACTTGTGATACCTTTAAAAAAAAGATTAAAAGAAAAGCTAAAGAACTCTGGGAAAACAACAAAAATAGAATTGAAGTGAAAGAGAAAACCAGTCCTCTCAAAGATGTAGATATAAAAAGAACCAAAAAACAAAAGGAAAGAAAATGAAGGAAAAAAGAATGAAGGAACACTTTGAGAACTGCCTGATACTGGGAGGAAAGGAAATATAGGAAGTGTACTTCGTCGATCTGCCTGTTGTGCTCCCCATTCTGTCTCTGGTGAAGACTCTCACCGCCCCTGCACCTCTGGCCTGTATGCCATTTCTATATGCATAAATAAATAAATCTTTAAAAAAAGAAAACTAGAGGCTAATCTCTCTAATGAATACTGATGCAAAAATCCTCAATAAAATCTTAGCCAACAGTATCCAACAATGCATCAAAAAGATAATTCACCATGACCAAGTAGGATTTATCCAGGGGCACAGGGTGGTTCGAAATCTGAAAGTTAATTAATATAATCTAATACATCAACAAAAAGAAAAATAAAAACCATATGATTCCCAGGTTTACATACCTGGGAATAAACCCAACAAAGGAGGTGAAAGGCTTATACAAGGTAAACTATATAACACTGCTAAAAGAAATAGAAGACACAAGAAAATGGAAAGATAATCCCTGTTCATGGATTGGAAGAAACAACATTGCCAATATGATCCTCCTATCCAAAGCAATTTATAGATTCAAATGCAATTCTAATAAAAATCCCAATGGCATTCTTCAAAGAAATAAAGATTACTGATATTCATATAGAAGCTCAAAAAGTGCCACAATGCCAAAGTTTTCCTAGCTAAAAGAGAAAAAATGACTTCAGACTATGCTACAAAATCATAATTAAAATAGTATGTTACTTGAACGAAAACAGACACAGAACAACAGAGTATAACTGAAAGCCCAGAAATAAAAATACATATTTATGTATAAATAATATACAACAAAGGAGAAAATTATATACACTGCAATAAGGAAAGCTTCTTCAAATCAATAGTGCTGGGAAAATTAGACTGCTGCATTCAAAAGAATGAACCTACACCATTATCTCATTCTATACACAAAAATCAACTCAAAATGGATAAAAGTTCTGGAGAATACCTGAAACCTTAAAACAAACAAACAAACAAAAAAAAACAGGCAAAACACTCCAAATTTCCAAAACATCTTTGTGGACTCATCTCAGCAGCAAGTTAAACAAAGGAGAAAATAAACAGCTGAGACTATATCAAACTACAAAGCTTCTATATGGCAAAAGAGATAATGACCAAAACAGAAACTCTCTATTGAATGGGAGAAATATTTGTACACCAAACATCTGATATTTAATTTGCACACCAAAATGACATCAAAGCATGTGTATAAAACACTTCTACAATTCAATAAAAAGAAAATAAACCAACTCAATCAAAAAAATGGGCAGAAGAGCAAAACAGGCACTTCCCCAAAGAGTACATGCAGATGGCCAACAGCCATATAAAAAAAATGCTTATCATCACTTCTTATCAGGGAAATGTAAATCAAAACCAGCATGAGGGTCCTCCCTGGTGGCGCAATGGTTTAAAGCACAGCACTCTGAAGCTATCCACAACCAGTGCAGCACTACCTTGATTACAGCTAGGGAGGTGACCATAGCACAGCAGATCTCTCCTGACCTGCCCACTGCTCCTCTCAGCAGTGTATTTCAGTCAATCTGCCTATTTTGTTCCCCAGTCTGTCTCCGGTGAATCCTCTCATCCCTCCCCACCCCTACAGTTCTCACCTGTACCCTAGTTCTTGTATGCAAAATAAATCTTTAAAAAAAAAACAAAAACACCATGATATATCACCTCATACCTGTGAGATTGGCCCCTATCAAAAAATCAAGTGCTGGTGAGGGCATAGAGTAAAAGGAACCCTATTAAACTGTTGGTGGGAATATAGACTAGTCCTGTCCTTATGAAAAGAAATATAGAGATTCCTAAAAAGACTGGGCCGACCATAATACCCAGCAAACCCACACCTAGGTATCACCCAAAGAACACACAAAATCTAATTTGAAAGGAAACCTCCACTCCTATGTTTATAGTGGTACTACTTACAATAGTCATGATATGAAAAAAACCTAAGTGCCCCGAACAGAAAAGTGTATCACAAAGTTGTAGTATATATACTCCATGGAATACCACTCAGCAAAACAAAACAAAAAAAGTTTGATGAACTAGAAGGGACTATTCTAAGCAAAGTGAACCATGAGGAGAAAGAGAAACACCACATGGTCCCATATAAATGCGGAATCTAAAGAAACTCACCCTTGAAAGCAAACATTAAATCTGAGACATTCAAGAGAGTCAAGGGGCCTAGAGAGGAGAGTAGAAAACAGCTGGAGAGCAGAACATGTGGAGTGGAGTGGAGTGGAGGACTGCTGGCACTTTGGTGATGGGAAAACAATGGTGAAAGCACCTGAGGGGAGAAATACTATACTGTGAAAAAAATTAACAAGGATGTTTAAAAATTTTTTTTAAAAAAGAAATTTTAAAAAATTAATAATTAAATAACTAAGGTTCTCCAAATAAGGAAAATATTTAAATATAGTCAATTAAATAATTTATTTGCAGTATATACTTCTATAACTTTCATATAAAGGTTTCTGTCTAAGGCCTTGCCTGTGGCTCTGTTGTGCTCACTTGTAGGTGGAGACACACATTTGATGATCTCACTCCCTCTGAGCAAACAGGAAATCTATGATTAGACCTGTTAGAATGATGAGACCAAAGAGATCTAAGAAAGAGGCTCAAATATATGAGTAACATTTACAGAGCATAGCCTCATACCTGGAAATTATGCCAAGTTAGTGAAAATTTGGACTAAAGATTAGGTTAATAATTCTTGGTGTTGCTATTAATGACTTAGTTTTCAAAAATATTTTTTAAGAATTTACATTATAGGGCCCTCCCTGGTAGCGCAGTGGGTTAAAGCACAGCACTAAGAAGCTAAAGCCACTTCAGCATGAGTTTGAGCCTCACCTGCCCCAGGGGTAACCCACATGGCAAGGCAGACCTCTCCTGACCCGCCCACTGCTACCCTCAGCAGTGTACTTCGTTGATCTGCCTGTTCTGCTCCCCACTCTGTCTCTGGTGAATCCTTTCACCGCCCCTGCACCTCTGGCCTATACCTCCCTTTTGTATGCATAAATAAATAAATCTTTAAAAAAAAAAAAGAACTTACATTATAAAATGCAACAGCATCAATATATATTAAAGATACACATTTACAAGAGATGAGAATAAACATTCCATTGTCATTTCTTTAAATATAAAATTAAGAACTTACTAGATTCCACTGTCATCTGAAGTAAACTATCAATGACATTAGATAGGAGTCCTTTACTGGATATTCTTAGATGACTTAAAATTACTGGAACAGCTTGATACTCCAAAAACAAGACTTTTCCTTCATCTGTCTTTAAGTCCATACAAAGAGAATCAAATGCCTGAGCCAGATAGTCAGCTGAAAAACAACATACAAAATTAACTGCCATATTGATAAGCTAGTTGGCCATCAGAAACAGAAGGCAAAAAGTTGATACTCTCATTTTAACAAATTCTAAAGAAAAACAAAAGTTAAATGACCTGAGATTATAAGACAAATATAAATATTTATTACCCTAATTAGGTAAGAATAAAAGGTAAGAGGAATTATAATGTGAATTTCTTTCAGAATTTTCATTTCAATTCTTATTTATATAAATAGTAAATATGAAAGTTAACATTTATTTTCCATATTTAATTTAACCACATGCTTCCAAGAATTTAAACAGTATTAGTATTTCTATCTGTAAACAGCTTTTATGATTTGTCACTGCTTTCTAAGCATTTACTTATTTTAAAATGTAACTTCATGGGCCCTCCCTGGTGGCACAAAGGGTTAGGATGCAGCACTGCAAGCTTGTGAAGCTGCTTCACTGAGAGTTCAATTCCCGGCTCTATAGGTGACCCACATGGCGCAGCAGACTTCTCCTGTCCCTCCCGGTACTCCTCTCAGCAGTGTACTTCATCTATCTGCCTGTTCTGGCCCCTCCTCTGTCTCTGGTGAATCCTCTCATTGCCCCTGCACCTTTGGCTTGTACCCCAGTTCTGTATGCATAAATAAATAAATCTTAAAAAAAAAAAGTTTAAAAATAAATAAATAAAATAAAATGTAACTGCACACAAACTTAGTAAATGGGTTTAAGTGAGAATCTCTGCTTCCAAAAAGAGATGCAACTGCCATTTAGGGGCAACTTCAGAAGACTGGCTATGCTCATTCCATTAAATATATTTAGTGATATATCTCAGAATGGCACTAAGATTTTACCAAGGCCAGTGCTATGAAGACAGGTGGTAGATCTACAGCCTCTAGAATTTCCTTAAAGACATTCTACAGTTAGGAAGTTCCTCTGTCTGCCTGTGAGTGCAAGTGTCTTTTTCTTTCTCCTTTTCTTAATAAACTTGCCCTTTGGAAATGCAGGAAAAAATAAAATAGATGTTTTAGAGGGGTTGGGAAGCTCAGAGGTAACAGAACCACTAATTTAACCATAATAAATGCATTTAAATATTAAAATTACACCACACAACATCTTTTTTTCTTTTTTTTTTTAAAGATTTATTTATTTATGCATACAGAGCTGGGGTACTGGCCTGGGGTACAGGTGCGGTAAAAGGGTTCACCAGAGACAGAGTGGAGAGCAGAACAGGCTAACTGACTAAGTACATTGCTAAGGGGAGCAGTGGGCGGGTCAGGAGAAGTCTGCTGTGCCATGTGGGTCATGTCTGGGGCGCAGGATCAAACTTGTGCTGACATGGCTTTAGTTTCTTACTGCTGTGCTTTAACCCACCGTGCCACCAGGGAGGGTCCCTTTGATTCATTTTTAATATACCAAACAATTGATGTTACTACTTTTATGACAATTCTACATTGTTTTTATATATAAAAGAATATCCCAGTTTTCCAAAACTCTCCTTTAAAATTCTATTCAAAATTTAAAAAAATTAAAATCACATTATTCAAGTACAACTGAGTTAATTTTTTTCTACTGAGATTTCTGTTTCAAAAAAGACTCAAGGAAAAAAAAAAGGACTCAAGAGTCCCTAGAAATATATTAAAAATATGATAGTCACCCTATTACAATTTACTGTCCTCCAAACTTCTGCTGCATTTACTTTTTGCTATTGCAGCTTACACAAACAAAAGAAGTAATTAAAAACTCTATTAAGAATGAGAAGCTGAATACTTGTGTGATATTAAAATACATATGAAAGAATTCTGAAAAATATGAAAAAGATCTTTATGTACCTAAATCAATTTATAGGGCACTCCACTTTTATTTTTCGTAGAATTTAGTAGAACACTAACATCATGTGTACTTAATTTTTGGACTTCAATAAAATCAAACATTGCAAATAAATGTGTATTTAGGATAAGCAGAGTTGCTAGAATTTGTTCTGGCTTGTCTTATTGAGAAATCTGTATCACCAACTCGGGCAGATGAACCATTGATTCAATTCTTAGGAATAAAAGTTTTTATCACAGTGCCACCTACTGCATTTGGCACAAATTACTTCACCTTTGAATTCATAATCTGAGATTAAATGAACTGTTACATAACAAGTTTGAGAAGTTAAAAAAAAAACTGTCTTTTATTAATTTGGGGGGGGTTTAAAGGTATTTGATTTTTTAAACTGACTTATCTTTAGAGAGAATTAAACTATATCCTCATTTTAATTTTTCTTATAGTGAAGATTTTCTAAAATTAAAACCACTTCAACTCCTAAAAGAATATTTAAAATATTAGTTATCAATTGTACCCAAACTGATTTGTTTTCATGAATATATTATTGAGTCTTAAAAACCATTCTGACACTTAATTTTAACAGTTTTATTCCTTATCAAAAGCCAATCCATTGATATTAATCACTACAAAATAGTGTTTCCCATTACATAACAAGTATGTTAGATTTAAAAATTTAGAAACTCTGCACAGCAACTAACTCTCTTTGTATCTGGGCTAACCTTGTAACTTTAACTAACAGAATTCAACAGAAATGATACTTGTGTTAATTAGAAGCTGAGCTTGGTCTCAAAAGGCCATGTCTCTTTCACTCACCAGCTGGGTACTTTTCTGACACCATGTGAACAGGCCCAGGCTAGCTTGATGAGGAGAAACCTGGGAGAGGTTCTAGAAATGTTAACAAGCCTAATCAAAAACGGCCGGCCCAGCCCAGACAAACCACCAAGTTTGCTGAGCTCTAATTACCAATCCAAGTAATTGTGAGCTAGTAAACAAAATGGTTCTAAACAACCAAGTGTTTCATGGCTTATTATAGAACCTCAAATACAATCTAAATAGATATAAGTTGTGATCTCAGGAAACCCAATTCTTAAAAGGTAAGTAATAAATAATAATTGATGTTCAGGATAACAGCAGCTAGTTTGTTAGGGGCTTAATATATGCCAGACTCTGCATAGCCTTCACTTAATCTTTTTTAGAAACAGTGTTATGAAAACACACAAACAGGGCCCACCTAAAGTCACATAGCTAGTGAAATGACTATTCAAACCTTAGTTGCCTGATTCTAGAATTGAAGTTCTTAAGTGCAATCGTAAGTCAAACCTTATGGTATCTGAGAACTACAATAAATCCCTAAGCCTGAAGTGTGAGTACATAATTTATAAATGTATGAATCTATAGAAGTTGAAGGTCAGGCACTGAGTAGAGCAAAGGAACAGAAGTGGCCTTAATGCAGACTTTTTTTTTTTAAAGATTTATTTATTTAAACTGGGGTACAGGCCAGAGGCTCAGGGGCGGTGAGAGGCTTCACCAGAGACAGAGTGGGGAACAGAACAGGCAGATCGATGAAGTACACTGCTGAGGGGAGCAGCGGGCAGGTCAGGAGAGGTCTGCCACACCATGTGGTCACCTCTGGGGCAGACAGGAATCGAACTCATGTGGAAGCGGCTTTAGATTCTCAGTGCTGTGCTTTAAGCCGCTGCATCCCCAGGGAGGGCCAAGACTTTTTCTTTTTTTAAGAGGCCTGTACCCCTGTTCTTGTATGCATAGATAAATAAATTTTTTAAAAGGTTGTATTTAATTAAAAATTTAAGTTACATCTAAAATAATTCTATTGGGTAGGATTCCCATGTCCTCATAATTATCGTGTTTACATAGATCAATTAGTATGCACATGATAGTTTTACTAAAATGTTTTACATTGAAGAAATAGAACAACTAAAAAGGCCAATTACAAGCAAGGAAAATGAAGAAGTAATCAAAACCCTCCCCCAAAATAAAAGCCTAGGGCCAGATGGAACTACAAATGAATTTTACCAAACTTTCAGAAAAGAACTAGTGCTATTCTACACAGACTCATCAAAAAAATCAAAAAAGAAGGAAAACTATCAGATATTTTCTATGAAGCCAACATCACAGTAATACCAAAACTGAACAAAGAAAACACAAAAAAAGAAAACTTCAGACCAATCTCCCTAATGAACACTGATGCAAAAATCCTCAACAAAATCTTAGCCAACAAATCCAACAATGCATTAAAAAAATAATACCCCATGACCAAGTGGGCTTTATCTCAGGAGCACAAGGATGGTTCAACATCAAAAAATCAATTAATCTAACCCATCACATCAACTGACAGAAAAATAAAAACCATATAATCATATCAATAGATGTGGAGAAGGCATTTGACAAAGTTCAACATCCATTCCATTTATGTTTAGGGCCCTCAAAATCCTCGGAATAGAAGGAACATATCTCAGCATGATAAAGGCCATATATTACAAGCCCACAGCCAATATTATCCTCAATGGAGAAAAGCTGAAAGCCTTTCCTTTGAGATCAGGAACAAGACAAAGGTGTCCACTATTGCCACTGCTCTTCAACATAACATTGGATGTTCTAGCCATAAAAGCAATAAGACAGGAAAAATATATACAAGGAATCCAAATAGGGAAAGAAGAAGTCAAATTATCCTTATTTGCAGATGATATGTTAATTTATATGGAAAACCCTAAAAGCTCCACAGAGGAACTAATCAAAACCATCCACCAGTTTAGCAAGGTAGCAGGATATAAAATCAAAACACAAAAGTCAGAGGCCTTCCTATACACAACCAATCAAATGAAGCAGAAATTTTTTTTAAAAATCCCCTTTTCAATTAAAACAAAAGAATCAGATACCTGGGAATCAACTTAACAAAAGAGGTAAAAGACCTATACAAAGAAAACTACAAAACATTGTTAAAAGAAATACAAAAAGACACTGTGAAATGAAAAGATATTTCCTGCTCAAGGATTGGGAGAACTAACACCATCAAAATGGTCATCCTACCAAAAGTGATACACAGATTTAACGCCATCCCAATAAAAGTCTCTATTTCTTTGAAGAAATAGAAAAATATTGATGACATTCATATGAAATCACAAAAGACGTTGAATAGTCAAAATCTCATGACTAAGAA